GTAAGCATAATTCACAGGCTCTTGTTGTTACTATTTAAACGCCCCTGCAGGGTTGGACACAGCACACAAAGTTGGATTATTTAAAGTAAAGAGAAATATAGCATGTATCATAAAGCATGATGTCAGTTGTATCTTCTAGATTACCCAAGCATGATGTTTTATTACACAGTGCAGCTTTGGTTACACTTATCAAACTTTACCTTTAAGCTGTGCTTGCTGTTAAAATACAGCTCGTATCTGCCAACAGGGGGGGCCGGAGTCTCATTCCTCATCTGTATTACCTCTACTGAAGTCTCACCAAAACACAGTTCATTTCACAATGATTACATTCATTTTTGAGTGAAATTAAGGATTATAATCTATCAGATTTTTTGAAGCATGTACAGCATTTACACCTGTAAATCAACTTTACCTCCCTTGCTGTTGACATTTAGCAGCTGTTTACAAATGTTTTTGGCATGTGTTGGCCACCGCACAGAAAGGTATCAGTGTCATTCATGAAAGCAGAGTGTGTGTTAAAGACAAGTTTGTTGAGTTGCCCAATCATTCCATGGCACAGACTGCTATCATGCAAACACTGTGTGTTGTTTTTACCAAAACAGACACCTGTCCCTCTATGCACAGTGTGATTACAACACACTGCACTGACACCCTCTGTGTCTCTTTCCATAATTCACTCCTCCAAACATGGCTATTTACTGCATTGGCTGATTTAGGCCATATATGTAAAATAAAAACTATAAACTGATTGATTAAGGAAATAAAGAATGAGAAAATAGTGCATCCAAATGTTACTGAAGGGAAAAAACAGGCCACACCGTCAGCTATGAGTGGTGGTTTGCCAAGTATGTCACTGTGGCTCTGCACTTGGCACTCGATGCCACTAACAAAACCTGCTTCATCCGATTGTTCTGCCTTCACAAGGTTAACACCACAAGAGGTTTATTTGGCTTCACAACATGTGATAACTACAGCGGTCGCCGATATGCGTGGTGCCAAAGCGGAGCAGGACTACGCTGAAAGACACACTCAGACCTTTGCACCTGCACATGCTCGTGCTGAGCCATCTGCAGAAGTGAAAGAGGTTCGCATTGCTCAACTGAATTGGACTCAGATGTTTCCTGACATTCCTGCAAAGCGGACCAGGAAGCATATGCACTCCCTTCTACCTCTACTCCCCTCAATACTATTGTCAGCTCAAATATGCTTTTAATAAAAAGTTTAGTCTGGGCACAAGCCTCATATACAGTAAAACTGAAACAAAAACGTAATAAGCCCCTGGGAACACTTCGAACTCTGTGGTCCTTGATGCAACTGTCACAACAGTTATTATACATTTCATTGATGAATGCTACACTACAGTATATACATCCAGCAAGCAGTTAGAATAGAATAGCACAAAGACTGGAAACAGCCTCTGTCCAGAGGTAACCTAACAAAACCCACTTACTCCCCTTTCTAGCCTACTCTTAAACTCACTACTCAACACATTCAATCTTATTTGTTTAATCGGTACAAAAACCAAAGTGTTAGAATTGACAAATAGTGGTTCGCAGATGATATATCAGATGTATTTCTCTCTAGCGTCACTAGCACGTTTCGGTAAAGAGTAAAATCTCTATTCAACTGTGGGATGGCTTGTTTATTTCTAATTAGCGAATGCATGCTAACACAGCTAAGATGGCGAATATGGTAAACATGCCTGGTAAACACCAGCATGTTAGCATTGTCACTGTGAGCATGTTAGCATGAATTAGCATTTAGGTCAAAGACGGCCTGGTAGAGTTTTGTCCTTTATACTGTTAGTGGTTACAAGTACCAAAAAGACAAAAACATGTCCTCTACTTCAAGAATCCTTTAGCTAACGTCCAAACAAAAGAAAATTGCATCTAGATCACACGCAACAATTAATTCATCATTTCCTCAGGGCAAACAGGGCTCAGTTCATGTTTATATCAGTACAACGTGTACAATTTCAAAATACTCGGTGGTGTTTCAAGTTAAAACAGGTAAAAAGTTCAGTCACAGATGATCTCATAGAGCCATTTTCCCTCAGGGCCTGACACCCCTCGGCCATGCACTGGCAGCTGTGGTGTGTTTGAGTGTAAAAGAGATTAGGGAAATGAAATTAAGAGCAGCAAAAGTGCCATTCCTCCGGGATAGAGCGGACTAATGAAGCAGGAGGCAGTTCTCTGGCTGGAGCTTTAATTTTGTCAAGCCTGGTTCAGTCCCCAGTCCTGCTCCAAACAGATTGAATTAAGGATCCAGTGGTTGTGAGTCATGTTCTGTTTGGATGAGAAGAAACAAAGTTTACGGCAACCACTGGCGATGATGAATTGATTAAAGAATGGTGTTTATCATTGCACAGTGATGGATGAGTCTAAGCTGTGCTCTTTCTGTCCTGCATCATGAAACAAACCACAAACCAGATCCAGTCTTTTGATCTAAGCATTCAGAAAGCTGCTCTTTTAATGAAATATATATATAAACATATGGGACATTAGTTTCAGCTTTTATTTTGTTGACTGATATAGAGTGGAAAGAAGGCATGTGGTTTACTGCCAAATCATTAGCCATTGTTTGTGTCTTTTTAACGGACGGTCTTCCTCTTGTGGTGAAGTGGCCCCCATGACTGCACAGCACTCATGTCCACTGGCAGCGAGGGGTGAGGTGACCCTCAGTGGTCTGACCTGACCTCTCTGTATGAGAGGGATAGGGCTCTAAAGCGGATGGACTCCATTAGTGGCCCAATCACTTTCTCTTTAACACACTTCCAGGGTGACCTTCAGAACTGCACTGCCCAACCCAAGGTCAAGAGTCAGGGTTCAGACTAGGTACACATTAGCATGCAGGTGGAAGCTCCAAAATGCAATCAGTAATAATGATGTTTTCAGGGATATGGGACCACTGTTCTGGGTAGCAATTGTCCAAATGCACATCCTTAGGACATGACTTGAATCTCCACTTTGTGTGTGTTCCTCATAATCATTGTACGCTCTGTTCAGAAAATAATGACTGAAATCTTTCCTGGAGAGCACATGACCTCAGGAAGGGTAATAATATTGATTAGGGGCCCAAAGTGCAGAGGGAGGACAGTGTATCCATTTATATGTATGGTAAATTTAAATGTAATGTCAATAAAACAAGCTTTTGTGTTTGATTTTATGTGGTTTGATAGTGTAATTACTGCAGATGCATATAGAATAGTCAAAATCAGACATGTGGACATGTTTTGCACCTCTCTTTGTGAGTAAGTATGCTCTAACTTGGTGGTTTCATATTCCCTCTGCATCTCTCCAAGGAGCCCTAACAGTGTAGAAAGGGGCATTTATTGATTTAAGTTTTTATTGTTCTATCTCTAATGAGAGGTGCCAGAGTGAGCTGTAAATCATAATGCTCTAATGCACCACAGTTGCAAACAGATAAATAAATACTTGTGTCTGCCATCAAAAAGACATTATAACAGCCTTTATAGAGCAGCAGATGTATTTTTGCAGCAGCAGTTTTCTAAGTAGTCTTGTCATGGGTGAAGAGGATGAGCTTTGGTATCGTTGGTATGAACATGCAAATCCTTTGAGATGAGCTGTCCCGTGTTTCTACTTAGAAAGAATAAACGTAAATGCAGATATTTTTGCTTTGCTGTACATCTACCCCATGTTACCATGCTGTGTCACAAGTAACCACAAACATTTGTGTTGTTGTGTTGCCGACTCATTGCTGTCTGTCTGTCTGAATGAATGATCTCAGTATTATCACTGAAAACAGAACACTGTGTCTCAGACAGCACAGAGAACTTGTTGTACTTTGTTGTTTTTCAGTGGGAATTTAGCAGCAGCAGAGCCACAAACAGTTCCTCCATGTACCAAAAGGACAACCACTGGACACACTGCTTTAGTTATATAATGTCAGGTAAAAATGACCTGCCCATATCGTATATACACTACATGTTCTGTACATGTGAGCTCTTGGTGAACTGTATGTTCTTGTGCTCTCACAACTCATACCTTTGACCTAGTTTGGGTCGATTTCTTGGAAAGTAGAGCAGTGTTACACAGAAATGTGCAGCTTAAAATGTGGGCTCGTTTATTCATGGATAGAACTGCCTTTCTTCTAAAAAAAAAAAAAGTCTGACATGTGGCATGTGCACATGTTATGGTAACGTGATCAAAGCTCGGACAGGGAAAGAAACCCTATCTGCAACCCCCACCTCCCAGCCCATACACGCTCTGAACTCTACTGTAAGAGGAGGCACTCCTCCATGGTGTGTGGCTTCCTCTACAGCTGAGTGGGTGCACTCTAATACACAGATTTCTGCACTCCTGGACATCACACTGGACAAGCAGTGCATGATTTATGCTTGATTCTGTCCCCTAAGGTTTCTTTACACTGATTGAAAAATATAAATACGTGAATGTATGGCTTAACCATATCATCGAATTAAATATTTGTGCAGCACTTTACATGCATTTCCATGCAATTAACTTGTGTATTTGTTTTGTTTGGGAATGTTGGGATCTTAAATAGACTTTAAGTGAAGTTTTATGTGTTTAAGGAATGCTTGGCTGCACAGCAGGAATTTTAAAAGACAGACCCACCACTATGCCTGGCAGATACTGGCGATCCCAGCATCACAAAAGAAAATGTTTTTATAGCCTGCTGGTCGTGACATTTATTATGTCCATTAAATCTTGTCTCAAGAACTGCACACAACAGCTCTGAAGTCCACAAAACATCCAAAATAAACAGTTATTCAGAGTAAGTACATGTATACAATACAGTGTTAATGCACAAAAGACTTTTAAAAGCTGCTTGGCCTGTGCAGTTAACAGCTCTCTGAGGAAAAGTCAGCATTTCCTGTAAGCCAGAGGCTACAGCTATACATTCCTTGGCCACGTGATGGGGGATTGTAAGGGGGGCTGAACATTCAGCATAAAAATACGGGAGACTTTTTCAAACTCACAGCATGTGGGAACTACAGAAAACAACAAATCGTGAACACCTTTTAAGAATTGTTTGTGTTTTTATTAAAATACATTTTACAAATGTACACAGTATCCTTTCTGAGACCCTTTTACAACAAAGGTGTAAGACATTATGTATTTAAAAAGAGAAGCAGTCCCTTAGTATGAATTTTTAAAAGCATCACATGCTCCTGGAATTTGTATACAGTACAGTACACAGAGTGCTGAGGAACATGAGATCCCTTGAGGTTATGTAACGACCTAGAAATAATTAACCGAGTCATGTTTCACTCTTACAAGCACTGAATACTCTTCAACATGTGGTGCAGGATTTCCCTTTCACCCAGCATAAAGACAGTGACATTTCCATGATGTGGAGTGCTTTATGTAGTCTTTTTATGTAGCTCCCAGCAGTAGGGGTTTTTGGTCTGGGAGTTTGATCTCTCCACAGTCATGGAAAATGTTCAGAACAGCCGCCTCAATAGAGAAGAGGTGCTCATCCTCTACCTCGGGAAAGTAGAGCCTCATGAACTCTGCCAGGCGGACCAGGTATTCAATATTGTGGCCCGTGTTGCCCCTGCAAACAGCGATCTGGTCAGCAATCTCCTTGTCCGAGGCCGGGCCGAGGTAGATGGGATTGTCAGAAGTAGCAATGTAAACGAGGGCCAACAGAGGAGCCTGACCCTTCTCCTTAGGGATGAACTCCACCATCTCCGTTATGTAACCCCCCAGCACAACCTCTCTCATGTTCAGGTACTGGAGGGACTCTTCTATCTGGGAGTCAGTCACCTCATAGGCCACTCCCCATGTGCACGCCTGCAGGGAAAACAAGTGGAGAGAAGTTAGCATAGTTTGACTGAATGCTAACAGCAGAACAAATACAGTATGTAATGGTTAAACATGGCGAGAACCTGGTTTGAGTATTCTGCCAACACCTAAGGCATGTTTGATCTTGATTTAGTGAATATTTACAGTTGACAAAAGGGGATTTTCTCTGAGTTTGACCCTATTGAGTTTTGGTTATAGAACCTTTTTAGTTGGTTATAAATGGTTCATCACCCAATTTAATAGAATAAATCACTGCAGTAGTAGTGGTATGTATGTTGTATCAAACTGATTTACCCATTTTTTTCCCAACAGCATCACTGAGTGTAATAGTTTGGCCAAATATTGTGTAAGACCATAAAGTAGTTTTTTGTGGGTGTTCAGATGTTGCAAAATGTCTTAACGTTTGAAAACTGGCTTCCCCTCTTAGGATGGTGGGAATATAGAAAGCCAATTGCATGCTGTACAGTATCAAAATAGACTGGGAGCTTTCAAAACAAGGACACTTACCTCCTGATCCTCCACTAGTGTGACCACTCTGCCTGGCTGTGGACAGCAAGGACACACACAGCAAAGACATGACTACTCAGCACATCACACAACAACAAGAAGCAGTTTTATACTTGAGAATAATTCATGATACACAGAAAGATTCATAAATAAACACCTAAACTCATAAAGCCATCAGGAAAATATTTGAAACAATTGGAGGGTAATGCAATTTATTAATAAATGAATGTGTTAGAGACAAATCTCACCTTTTTCTTGTCTCCTCGATAAAAATCGTCTCCATGCCAGAAGCGCCTTTTGTATCCCATAATGTGGCCAATTGTGCTCCTCTTGTAATCAAAATCAGGCTTCCACACTAATGAGCCATATCCAAATATCCACAGGGTGCTCTTTTCTTTGATAATGTCCTGAGGTTTCATTGTAGTCGCTTGGCTGTGTTTTAAAAACGAGGTTGTTTATGTCAACAATCTGATATTTCTTCTCTTATTCCTATTGCCTTATACATTCCAATACATCCGACTGTCACTATTATAAAGTGCTGAAGTCAGAAATAATCTTCCAAATTTGAATACTGTCTCGCAGAAAAGAAGCGTCGCGTATATTACTGTGACCAATGTAATGAAAAACGGTTCGGGATGTGTGCATATTGTCCGTTTCTGATGCACACACACGTGTATTTGTTGTTCGAGGCACGTCAGAGCGAGATGGCCTCGGCCAATTAAATCAAAGAAAGGGCGGGCTTATCTAAGCGATAAACCAATCAGGATCATGTAAGTGGTAACACGTCTCACCAGTGAACTTGCGAAACACACAGATAAACAGTGTGTTCCAGTTTGCACCGATACACTGAGTGTTTTTCCACTGAATGCAGGGTTGCTAACAAACAAGAAACATTAATACAAACTTTATTCTTTTGTTTTTTCTGTCTGTCACAAAACTTTTTTAAAAATGTTTTTGCATCATGGTCAAAGACTTATAGGCCTGTATTTTTGTACCCCTGTAGTTATTTTTCTTTAAAAATGTGGGTACACCTCTTGCACCCTTGAGTGTCAGTCAGTAATAGTTCGGCAGGTAATCACATTACCTATAAATAACCGGGACAGTTATATCTGGTGCTCTCCTAAGCTCATTAGATGTCTGTGTTCTGCTGTGGTCTGTCACTATTGTGCCCACGTGGGCCGATCACTCATGAATGACTTCTTGAGGTCATTTGCCCTCTGCCTGTCACTTATACGTGATATATGATGAGCTAACACGTGAAAGTTGAAGAAGAAACTCTTTTTCCTCCAAATTCACACTAAGCTTACTGCCCCCAAGTGGTAGTAAAATACATCAGTCAGTTCTTAAGAAACTCATGCTTTATTATTAGCTGCGGGAGTTCAGGTGAATCAAATGCAAGGTGTTCAAAGTGACAGCAGTGGTGGACAGGGGCAAAAGGAATGAATAGGGCATAAAGTGCATGTGGTTGGGCAGCAGTAGGGAGGTTGTGATCTATTTATGGTGGGACAGGTCCAAACCCTGGTTAAGATTTAAATGGTTTTGCTATGTGACTCCAACTTACAGTAACTATTAACTATTTAAACATTTAAAGGAACCCAGAGGAACCAAATAGTTTTCTAGCATAAAGGGCACCCAAGAGGGCACTTTATCATGTTTTCTCCACTAAATTGACATCCTAGGGGGGGGAGCTTGATCTCATTTTCACCACTGGAAGGGCACCCCATCACGTTTTCTCCATTAGAATGGCACTTTATTGTGTTTTGTCTACCACAGAGGCATCCAAGCTGATTTTTTTGTGGGGGGGGTTTTGTTGTTGTTCTGTTTTTGAACATGGGTGCACCAGGCAATTGCTGTCATTCCTCCCCCTCCCTGAATGACAGTATAATTGTCGGTGCCTGCTAGGTTGTCATGGTCCTCTGCCTCATGGAAAGGCATATGCAGATTTTCTCACTGACTCACATGCAAGCAGTCACTCCACCCACACCTCCTGCAGCCAGAGGCCATAAGAGATAACTTATCATCAGAGATCTAGGCCCTAGTGCTTTGTTCTTAAAAGCCTCAGTTACTATGCGATATATCAAGATACAGCAGCAGTTCACAGAAGCAGTTAAGTACTGTAGAAAGACCACAAGGACTTTTTATTTTCACATACAGATGTTTTTTTGTTTTTTTTAAATATATATCTTTTAGTTTGAATAATTCCTTACATTGCTGCCAATTACAATACTGTCCACTGAATGATTGCTAGCACATTGATTTCACACGGACACAGATGGACATAGACATGGAATCATCAGAAAAGCTACCAGGCCGAATATATATGACTGTATCTATAAACACTGAAGCCACTTCCACACCAGCTGACACAAATAAAGTTTCTAGATGATTCCAACATTTAAATTAGGATCTCTATTTGACCACATGTACACTCAACCATTGAAGAGCAACAAACAAACAGTGTACCAGATATGTATTAATTGCTTCTTTTTTTATAACAAAAAAATAATAAAATAAAACACCAATGACACTTTAAAAATAAATTCACCTTTTCTGGGCGTCAACTTAAAAACAGATGTTCATACTTCTAATCTCAACATATAAATATACAGTATATACAAAATAATCTTATAAAACATAGAAAGAGACAGATCAGTGCTTCATATTCTTAAATTACTAATGAAATGCTAATCTTACAAAATAACATTATTGGTTCAGTAATTTCCTTTGAAGGCGTCCTTGGTACGATAGTCACTTAATGTATTTCTTTGTCTTTATTTAAGGGTGATCTTGCATAAGGTAAAACGAGGCCGTATCATGAGTTTCTCTGCATGGAGCTACAGCGTATTGCATCTTTTGATCTTTTATGTTTCCTCCATTTTGCTGTGCAAAGAATCAAGATAAGACGGGGCACAATGTTTTTCTTAAACACACATATAAGGCTTTGTGATCTATGCTGCATACATTCTTTATAAAAAAGGATTTACAAAAATGATAACCCTAAATATCCTTCAAAAATGAACCGTTTTCAGTAGTTTTTGTCCCTTTTTGATTTAGCACAATGCTGATTTCTGTTTGCATAGCGCATTGCAGGCCACAAAAATGGAAAAGGCTGGCTCCTTCCACAGGCTAGTTGGCAGTAAGTTGATTTGTTGATTGCTGTCTACTGCAGTAAGGTGGAGAGGAGTGCATCATGATAGTCCTCTTCTTCTAATCATCACACAGGCATAAACATCTTGGCCTGAAGCCCTTGGGTGAACTTGGACGGAGCAGACAAGGGGCTGAGTCAAAAATATCAAAGGCGCATCCACAAGTCAGATTTGCTCATTATTTACCGCAGTCTTTTCAGTCTTTACATTCTCACAAAGATTAGTAGCTTTAGTTCTATTGAATTCAAAGAGCACACCGGCTCCATCCAGTTATCAAGTTTTCAAGAGCAGCAACTTGCATTTAAATAAATCCTAGTCTCTCCACACTTGTAAACAGTCCGCAAGAAATCCAATGTTGACAGTGAATAATATCTTCTATTTATTATACCTGAAAAAGAAGAAGATGAAAAAAAGCTCAATGACTACTTCAGCAGTAAATCTAATATCCAAAATAACAGACAAGATAAAGCTATTAATGTTTAACAATAAAGGTTACACTCTAAAGAAACAAGAAAATAGATTAATTATGGAAAATAAAGGCTTACCTCAGTTGCAATGATGCATTCATCTTTCTCCTCCGCTATTACAAAGACATACTGGTACATTGAATCTCTGGAAGGACTTATTGTTGATATTCTACACTCTGGCCTTTCACTGTGGAGTGAAAATACATCATGTCAGTTATTGAGAACAAAAACAAAATGACCTAAAGAATGAATGTCTCATCAGCACCCACGCCGCTACACAGTGACAAAAACACAACTGCTCATTCAACCCTTTCTTGTTCACTTACCTGAACGTTCTACTTAAAGGCTTTTTTTCTTCTATCGTCTTTTCACAGTTTTCGTCTTTGTACAAAAGGGACTGTTCATCCTTGTACCCCTTGGAGGTTTTATAGTCCAGCTGGTAGTGGCTGATGTGTTTGTGATTAGACTTTTCCCTGGGACAGTCCATCTCCAAATCTGCCTTTTTATTGTTGTTCTTTAGTTCTAGAGTAGAGTTGAGGTTCCCTTTCTGAAAGTCTCCCTTGGAGAGGTTGTTCATGGTCTCTGAGTCCTGCTCATTGTTTCTCTGCTTCCTGACGTGACGTCTTACCACCACTACCATGCAAAAAAACACCAGAACAGCCACCAGGCCTATACCCAAGCCGATGGCTGCCAAGCTCAACTTGTCATTGGGCTCCCAGCCTATTTCTGGGCTGGGGGTGTTGGGTGAAGGCACATCGTCTGACTGGCACTGGGGGCCGCTGTAATGGGCAGGGCAGATGCAGGTAGGCTGGCCTTTCGCTCCGATGGTGCAGGTCCCGCCGTTCAGGCAGGGTCGCGAGGCACAGTGGTCTGTTGACTTGTCACAGTGGCGCCCTGTGTACCCTGGGGGGCAGGTGCAGGTGTAGTCATTGATGCGGTCTATGCAGGTGGAGCCGTTTGCGCAGGGGTTCCTGGCACACTCGTTGATGTTGATCTCACAGCGCAGACCTGTGAAGCCTGAGCGACAGCTGCACAGCCGGAGGTTACCGTGGATCACACAGTGTCCACCTATGAAAAACAAAACAGGATTATAGAAGCCTTCCACGTGGTTCCGTTTTTTTTCATTTTTTAGGAATTATTTTTGGTGTTGCAAGGATGATGTATTACCATTGGTGCATTGCAGTGAGGTACATTTATCCACTTTCTTCTCACAGTTCAGTCCAGTGTAGCCTGCTGGACACTCGCATGTATAAGTATGCCCATTGTCCCTCTCTCTGCATTTGCCACCATGAAAGCAGGGTGTATCTGCGCAGGTCAGCATCCTGTGTTCACAGTGTGTCCCTTCAAACCCCTGTGGGCACACACACCTATAGCCATTCTCAGAATCCTGCAGAGGAAAAGATATAAAGTTTATCAAAAAGCTCCCTGTCAGATGTTTTGTTTTATCATATCCTGTTCACGACTGCCCCAACGAACCCCATTATCCTTAGTTTGAATTCTATTTACAGTCCACGCTCTGTGAACTGGGTCATCTACTGACTTGACAATCGATAGCATCCTCCTGGACTAGCAGATAGACTGAGGCAAAAACAAAAACAGGAAAGCCTGTGTTGTGGGAAAGGAGAGAGAGAGACTTCCGGACTCACCAGGCAGTGGCCTCCGTTGCGACAGGGCTGGCTGTCACACTCCCTGACCTCCAAGTCACAGTTAACCCCGGTGAAGCCTGGCAGGCAGGTGCAGGTGTAGCTGCCCTGGCCCGTGTTCATACACGTGGCCCCGTTGGCGCAGGGTTTGTGGTGGGTGCAGTAGTTCAGATCTGTAACCAAATGGGTGGAAACATTATTTTATCTACAGTACTAACAATTCATTCAGTTTGTTTTGCTTTTTACCCCCCTCCCTCGCTGTTTAGAGAAAGAGGCAGTTACACACCTTGGTCACAAAAGATGCCTCCCCAGCCTTCCTTGCAGGTGCACTGCCACGGCTCTTTACAGGTACCATGTTTACAGGATGGATGGAGTTTACACATATCACAAAAGAGTCCCTGCCAGCCCTCTCTGCATCTGTTCACACACAAAACAGTGACAACATGACTGTGGGCTCACACTGTAATCTTTTTATCCACTATGTCATAGCTTTAATACTCCCAGAGATTATTTTAAACAGACAGACAAAGAAATACACACTGAAAACAAACACAATGTCAGCTTTATGTTATGTAATTATGCACTAATATATTATTTAATGGTTTATCTTCTCCTAATGAAGGTGTTCATTCTGTAGGCATTGTAAATCATTGTGTTTTAGCAGTTTGTGAATCCCCTGATGCCCATGAATAGAAAAAAAACATGCATTAAATAATTATGAATAGACAATAAACATGCAAGTAAGTGAAGACTCACTTGCACTCTCCGGGTAATGTGCAGTTTCCATTCCTTTCATTGCACCCCTCAAGACAGATTGCTGTAAAACAAACCAAGAAGGGATATTTAAAGCTCTCTACATCGGTATTTGCAACAAGCTGTTAATAAGACTAACGCCTATAACTGATTTTCTCTGCACAACAAAACCATGTACTTGACCATTTCATTGGAAAACTAATAATTCGCCGCGCATGCTCTGTGCTGTATGTATTGATTTATCATGGTTTTTATAGTGTTAAACGGCTGGTTAGTGCAGAGCAGATGCCTGTTCTAAAAAAAAAAAAAAAAAAAACACACACAAAAAAAAACAGGACAGCTGCCCCATTGTTATCGGTGGGCAGTTCGAGTCCCGTTTGCAGCTGCTGTCCTACACCGCTTCAACAATAGAGCCCGCAATTTAGTGGCGCGTGGCGGGCGATAATGCCGCGATTAACCCCGGCGCGCGCTGCTGCTGCCGGGCGACCACCGCCCTGGATTAAAAAACCGCACGCGCCCGGAGAGAAAGTGGGCTCTCTGTCGTCATATGTCACCTCGAGGGCTCCTCTTTCTGTCACACCCGAAGAAAAAAAAAAACTATACCTGTGATCATGTGACAGGCTATTTAGACTTTAGAGCTAAAAAATAACAACTCATTGTTTACTCTGAAACGTACAACAGACCTATATGTCACTCACTTTGCGGAGGAATACAACAAAAGGTGCTTACAAATTGTACAAAAAAGAAAAGAAAAAAAAGTCTAACTTTAGTTTATGTTCTGTAAATAAGGTCACGACTTTTAGCTTAATCTTTGGCCAACTCCCTTTTGGAGTCTAAACTCTGCCTTGTGACCTTTAACCACAAACAAAGGAAAAGTGTCCATATGGTGTCTTTACTCTTGCTTACGTTCTTGGCAGTATTCTCCCTTCCATCCCGGTAGACAGGCTATTTGCCCGTCAGGCTTGCAGGTGTAGTGGCCAAAATGGTCGTCTCTCGGAGCGCATATTTTGGAACAAGTGTCCCCGTAGTAATTTTCATTGCAGATGAACCGGTATGAGTACCTTAGCTCCGTCTGCGTCCCGTTCTGCACATCCTGGGACCACTCATGCCCTATTCCCAACTGTCTTTGGATGGCAAAAGAACTAATCAAGAAATCAGGGTTGGTGGTGTCTGTGAAGAACAGAACATCAGGGATATAAGGATTAGTTTAAAGCAGAAATATTTCGTAAGCATGAGTTCACAGCAGTGTGTGGTGTAGTTGATCGATCTAACAATTATTCCTGTAGTGATTTGTGTGACAATACACAATCTGTACACTGAAATTTCCTCTTCCTTTCACATCATTCCCCTGTTATGAAGGACCTAACAAAAAAGGTGTAAAATCCAGGAAAGGGCTGTCATGGGATTTTTGGCAAGGCTTCGTGTTCTCACTTAAGCCTGTACACTTTCCCATGCATGCCAAAAATAAAACAAGGGAAGTGCAATTGTGTTGGAGAGATTTTGATTGTAAAGAATTGTCGTGTGACTCATAAGGGATCTTAACAAACACAGATCCATGACGCTGAAAATGCCAGATGCATTTTGCCAGCACGTTGACTGAGGGTTATTGATGTAATGTGTGACAGGTAATAAGTCATAGAGGCTACACATGGCATGTCTCCCCCTAGTGGGCGACAGGTAGTGTGCGTCTCCTCACCTCCAGGTAGGTCCGCTGCAGGAGAAAACCAGGCTTCGATAACTAATGAGAAAGCACCCTGGAACAAATGAAGAAATAAATGTCACATAAAAAAATTTTAATACATAAAAGGTACATTTAGTTAGCTAGTATCTTTTGCTTTGTTTCACTGAAAGACTGATGTGGTGCTCCTGGAAAGCGTTCCAACATTATAAAATAGTGAAATGAAATGACCCCAAGCTGAAAATATATGAGAGTGAATATTTTCATAGTTTCAGTTTCAGTAAAGCGATTAACTTCTGATCTACTATGTTTGGCTTTAATGGCATATGACATTAAAAAACACACTTCTACAGCATTTAAATATATATAGTAGCTACCTTTATTTAATAGTGAGTAAGTCTGGTTGTGTTGATTTGATGTAGACCATAACATTATAAATGATTTAATGATTTTATCAATAAATAATAAAATAAATAGAGGCAATTTTTGTCACTGGGAGAAAGTATTTTTTCTTATGTCCTCAATTCATTACTAAATCATATGAATATCATATTCAATTTCTTGTGTGCGAATTTAGTTGGTTTCAGCATAAAAGTGTGTGAAGCCATTATTCCGCACTCCGCAGGGTAGGACAGGTGCTCTTACCGGCCAGGTGAAGTTGAGCGGCAGGCGCAGCCTGGCGTCCGGCTGGATGCTGAAGGAGTCGGTGCCCAGAACAGGTGTGGTGACTTTGCCAAATATACAGTCTCCGGGAGACACCACAGTCTGGAAGTTCTTCAAACAAACCCTGAAATAAGTCCTGCAGCCAGTCCTGCTGCAACTAAGTCCATTTGCCAGCAAACCTTTAGTATTCTGAAAGTGATGGAGATCTATCTCGAATACACCTGATCCCAGAACCTAAAAGGATACAAAAAGTGAGAACAACAAAATAAAGCAACATTTCCTTCTAAAATAATGATTTCCTTATTTGCAAAAGATTCAAAACAAACACACTACCTGAGTAAATATTGTCATAACTATTGCGAGGATAGAGGTGAACCAAACGGCCATTCTTTAGAGTTTGATGTGCGTATCCTTAAAAAATCAGTTTGTCCTCCAACAAAACGCCCTTATTCCAAGTGGTGATGGCGAAAACGGAGTGATGACAAATAAAGTGATCTAAATAAATATAATCCTTCTTCCAAAGCCTGTAGGACGAGATCCAGTTCCACAATCCGTATCCAGAAGAAGAAGTTGGAAAAGACCGAGTTATCCAGAGTGCTTGAGGTTAGACAAATATCAGTAACGTCAATATCCACAAGTGAGTCTGTCTGCGGTCTTTATGTTGCCCATCCATCGTGCCGGTCAGATGTGGTTTGAGTTTGCAGTGCTGATGCGAGGCTTGTGTTGCCAACAGTGATGCGAGCATGTGGCGGAGCATCAGCGCATAGTGACTGCCAGTGAAGGATGTTTGACGTCCCTCCCAGTTTATATACTGCAGTGTAGTGCCATTACAGACACTGTCAGTCACTTGTAGACACCGCCCACTCTCCTCTCCACCTTCTTTTTTTGCTTTGAATATCATCATCAGGCATTATAATTTAGGAGGAGATTTTCTTTGCCTCACCTGGTCCAAAAAAAACGCACTTTTTTGCGGTTTGTATGCAGATTTAACGATGAAAAACCCGTTAAACCTAAACATTGCAAATGTTAAAGAATATTGCAAAAATATAAATAAAAACCCAACCCGAACAAAAATGTGAAAAAATAATTTAAAAAATAATTAATTTTAAAATCCACAGGTAGACTAGGTCTGCTAACCCGCTGATGGCTGCTAGAGACCCAGTAGAAACAGAAAACTGTACACAAAGTCAGTCATTTTTCTTCAGAGATCACTGGCACTGACCGTTTGTGCGTCTTTACGCACCTTTAAGCGCCGAGTGCCTTTTACGCTTGTGACCTCGCAGCCTTCTCTCTTGTTTCTTGTGTTTATTTTAGATAGGGAGGAAGGAGCGGCTGATAACTCAACAGCTGTATGATAATAGATTCTTATTGCAAACACATTGCCTCAGTCATAAATCAGCTGAGGAGCCCGCGTTTTCCGAAAATCTGGCGCTAAAGCTGGGCCATCCAGGACTTACTGTACAGCTTTTAAATGAGAATTAATATAATTGTGCTTCTTAGGAAATATTCAAGGATGTGTTCCACGTGCCCTAAACAAACTTAAATTATTTTATTTATTTTTTTCGAATCAGAAAGACTTCATTGTCAGCTATGGAAATTGGTCTTTGACTTGACTTATGGTGCATATAGAATACCAACATACATGTAGCATAAATATACAATATGTATTCACTATAGAGTAACAGTTGGATAATTGGGTAGTTGTTATTTGTTATTTGTTGCATTTGTTATTAGCTTATATGAGGATACACACAGACACACACATGCATTTGTACACGCATACCAACCGCTGTGTTACATGTAGAGGGAGAGGAAGAGAGACCATATATTTTACTTTAAGTCATTGTTTATTATGCTTAATAACAAGTGCAGGCCCCCAGCTGCTCGGGCACTTCATTCAACATCATAACTCATAATGCCCTCAATTGAAAGTGAATTTGTATAAATTAAAGTCGAGATTGTATCCTGCATGTTTGTTGAACTAACATCCACTAGAGCCAGTTGAAAAAACTTTCTTCTCCTTTCAAGTGCATGTATAATTGTTCCAAGAGGGAAAAGAAAAATGAACTCAAACCAGTATATAAAGGTTGCTAAGCAAATAAATTCAAATGCCATATACATTTTTATCACATGTAAACTCATGCTGGGCACAGGCATTGTTACCTTTATCACCCCTGCAGCAGGCCAGCATGTCTGAGAGGATTTACAGTGAGGGAACAGGATTTGAGAGTTGTTCCCTGGCCATGAAGGTGTCTGGCTGAACAGCTCTCCCACCGAGATGACTTCATCTCTAAGCCCCCACCTTTGACTTATAGGTTTGAGGTTCCACTTTAGGGCAGAGACAATGGACTATTGAGTCTGGAGCAGTGTGACTAAGAGGCCCGGACATCTCATAGCTCTGCTGTATTGAAGCATTTGGCGTTCCCACCATTGACTGAATCACAGAGATCCTGTGGAGGATCAATGCAGCCCCGTACAGTGGTTTAATCTTGTATTCCTGTTCTGTTTTGTCTGTAAAAAAAAGCACTAATTCACTTATCAATGAGACATCTTACTAGTTTATATTGCTGTCATGGACTCTAGAGCCCAATCAATATCTTTCGTAGAGAGAAGTGTGCAGTGTAATGTTGCTCCTGCCCTCCCTTCATATACGTCAAAACATCCATACACTTTAATATTTGATGGACCATGGTTAAGGTTTCCCAACTGTGCCTCAGGTTACAATTCCTTGTAAAGCATTGGACTGTGTTAAACAAGCAGTGATGCTTGTATTAGAACTCCTTGGTGCAGCATGAAGGAAAACTTGGACCAGACACGGAGAAGCGCTTTTCTGGTGATGCACTCTCCCGGCATTCTTAATATTTACCTATTAATCTCCTGATTTTATCTTTTTATTTTTTTTGTGTGCATATAAATACACAAAAAGCCTGGCCTGAAATAACAGAACATTTTAGCTGTATGGGTTATTTACTCCTGGCCAATGCAAACAATAATCTCATAGGCTCTTTTCTGCTGTGTTGCTCTAGAATAAACACAGCCTTGGAAACAGACATCGGCCCACCACAGTTTCATCTCAGCCTTGTTTAGGACATCATTTTTCTTTGTGACAGTGTTTTGTAAAGCTGACTTCTGATTGTTCAATGGCTGTTCAGCTGGCATCCAAACCCTAAAAATAACATTTTGATTGGGAATTGAAGAGGTATGAAAGTGCCTCTGGACTGACTTATTAGGCAAGTTGCTATTTATGAGAAAGTGCCTGATGCAATTGTTTGGTTCTTCGGCAGACTAATATTTGTTCCCAGGAAAGATTGCCTTCTGAAAATTGCTCATAAGTTATAGATTTTAACAAGATGTTTGAAATCTTATTACTCAAATACTAATAATTGAATCCTGGGATGTGCTATTTGGCTCTCTTCCTTCTTTGAGCGTTTTCAAATATGACTCACACATTTTCACAACACTGTGTGTGCCCCCCATCAATATAGCAGGGATCAAAGACACTAAATTAAATTTTCCTCTTCTAGATGCCAATATGTGTTTACTGTTAAATTGACAGTAAGTGACCATGAACCTTATGACATGAGTGAAAGGTCACCTGACAGAGACTTACTGTCACATGCAAAAAAATAATACTATGTGATTATGTGTCATATTTTTCTTATATTATATGTCTCCTAGGTGACTGAGCAGACCACTTTCTCCTCTTTATCCACCCTCCGGCTTCACTGTGCTGCACGGCCCGATTTGGACCTGCTCCGGCCACTGCTCCAGTAGCATCAACACTCTGGGCAAGTGACACAGGAAATTAGCTACAGTGCTAACAGATGGCTCCTTTTAGTCCCGAAATCTGCCCCGTTTAATGCACAGCAGTTTAACACTTCTTTACAGCGCATTTGATCTCTACGCCCCAATCTGCTCAGCCAATCAATGGGGCTTTTGATGTGCGCTGCCAATGGATCTGAGGCATCTGAGCATGTCGCCCTCGGAGGAGAAATGACCTGCTGCCGCAGTTAGAAAGACAATTGTTGGTTTCCTTCTCTCAAAGCACCATGCTGCTTTGCATTAACTTACGACTGCCTTCAGATAGCCAAATACTGTCTCTACATAGTATTTTTGGGATTTACTGTTGAAATATGTGTGGGTCTTCAGGGTTTAAAGAGAATTTCCAGAAAAGCTTTAATTTGCTTAAGCCAAAGAGAAAAGACTATTTGTCTGCTGCAGTAAATTATGTTGACATCACTAGTTGATTAAAAGCACAAGGAGGCATATAATATGAAGTCAATATTATTAAATGTGTCACTTTTGGACCTACAATCTCTCATGCTTGAATAGGTCATAAAATAAAAACTCTTATGGATGTCTGTTTCCACTCAGTTTGAACCTTCAAACCTCCAGGTGACATGCTGATATTAGGCCGAATTCAGACACCCTGACATTATGGCCGCCTAATAAGAGCCCTTGTCTGTTGTGGAACTTTCCAGCTACCCTGTTGCTCTGCTATTGACAAAACACAGCCATGTCAGCACTCCTCTACCCTTACAACGCAACCAACAACACACTTTGGTCACTGACACCATGTCGTGATGCATGTAGGTGTCACTGCACCTGAGTAGAGCTATTGACAAGATGACTGGTGGATGGCAGCATCGTGGCATCATTCGTGTCTGAGGTCTAATTTATGGCTTCTGCTCAGGCTGAAGAGCATAAATCAGGCCGGGTGATCTGAGGCCATGTGTGTAACAGCTGTCTGTGTGCCAGTGTGCCAAGAGACAGCAACACACACCTCCCTCCCCAGCAGGCAGGGGCCGCACTTTCAATATATTGATCTGAACGGACCAGCTCCACCCTTTGACACATGGAACGTCAGCAGGGAACAGGCATTATTACCACATCTGTCACTCTATCCGAATGATGTCACATCCTGCTACATTTTAGCAGATGCATTTCCGCTTTATTTATAGTGTCTTTCAGTCATCGTCCCCCTGTTGCTGCTGTTTGTGCTGCACTTGAACGCAAAATAAATATGCGAAGGACACTCCCAGGCACACAACACACGAAAGCCAAACATGTTTTTGTGTCCAAGCTCTTCTTGAGTGATTACCAGCGCAAAGGCTAATTGTGTGTGAGTGGAAGAAGCTACTGTAGCCTTGAGGAAATCCTCCCTCGCCAGAGTCAAAGCATCATTGCTTTACGCAGACAAAACCTCACAGCAGGAAAAGGAAAGAGATAAATGGAGGAGAGGGGAGAGCGTGCTGGTGTGAAGAGGGCTGTTAAAACCTTTCAGGAAGACCAGTCTGAGACTACTAACCCTCAGGCCTCGCGGACCCGCAATTCACACACTAATCTACCTGTTAGTATGAGGTGTGAACAGGTGCATTCCCTTTATATGCTGCATAGCGGGGTCCCTGTGTCCTTAAGTAGTTTTGGCAGCACAGATGCGCCACAGGCAGAGTTTTAAATAGCTTCTATTAATTGTCTTTTATTGAAGTTGCCTGGCTTTGTGAATCAGGGGAAATTTTCATCAAAGTAATAGGCAATATAAATCTTCAAAGTTGCAAGGATTTTGGCCTCAATGTCACCAGAGGGTTCAACATAATCACTGAACACCCTCAAGTGATTAGCATCTAGTAATTTCACCTTGGCATGCCATGCTTTTAGATGCTGTGATTTGGTGTGATAAGAGCCTGTGACTCTGGTTTAATTATCCAGACACTTAATGATCCCTAATCTGCTTTTCTTCCTCCACTTCCTGTCCAGAGGCACATGACCTCTACACTACAA